GGCCACTCCGACCCTACAATTCTCTCTACAAGCTTCCGCGCCATCTCGTCTGTATTAACACTGTCACTGCTGTTATGTCCGTGCCACTTTCGCTGCCCGTCCACCTCGAAGACTCAAAAAAGTTTTCTCTCGCAATCCGTCGCATGGTCGAAGAATTTTAAGAAAATTCTAGACTAGCATAGAGCTTCTAGTCAGGACTGAATCTTTCTAGACTGTTACAATTTTACATATAAGTGTGAATTGTTTCGCCGTTAAAACTATGCTTCAATATAAATGTTCAAGAATAAAGATAAAATTGCTGAATAAATTAGTAGTGTGAATTATAATAGTGTTTAAGTATTAAATAGATTAAATAGTATTGGTGTAAATAAATTAAAAATAAACTATTTCAAATAAATAAACTATTTTTAAATTAAACAATTGTAACAGTGATTTTAAATTTTATAAAGTAGAACTTATTTGTAAAATGTTATATACAGTCTTCTTGCTAATAGTAGTAAGATATCTAAAGTCTTATCATCATTAGTTGCAGTTTTTCGTCTTCTAGACTTTGGGTGATCTTGTACGTTACCGGCTTCATTAATTTATTCATTATTTTTGAAACTATAGATCTACTTATAGTAGATCTTTAAAAATTTAAATCGTTGAACAGGTGACTTTTCATAGGTACGTTTTCTATCATCATATTCAATTAACAGGTATCGAAATTCGTTCCCTTTCTGATAAAGATAACCTTATATAATCCCGTTGTCCCATGCTGTGTGGGAGAAATAAAAATGTTCGGCACATAAACATTAAATCATTAAAAAAGTTAAGATCAAACTTATCCCGTAAACACACCTTCATATAAATCTATAAAAACTATAAATAAAATTAAGAATGAAACATCAATATTTTCAAATGAGCTATCGTCACCACCCCATGCCATTTAAATTTTTCGAAAGGGTTGCTCCCCTTTAGTTAGGCACTAAATTAAGGGTAAACTATCCATACAAAAATGTACATTGTATAAATCAAAAATCGACGTGTCTCGGCGATTTTCCTAACAAGACTCCAGTACCGAGTTAGTTATGGGGGTAAGACTTATGATGCTCACTGTACGATAGATTTAAATATTTTTAGAATAGACAGAAATCTTGCAGTAATAAGTAATAAAACTCGAATCGGTGGGGTGTTGATCGCTGTTCATGAAGAGTATGTTTCTGCGCGTATTGATTTGCATTAGTACTCTTGGCCGCTATTGAGAATCATCGACGTCTTGTTTATTAAAGATTTGATTAAATCTTATGCTTATTTATATTGTAATTTATATTTTAAACCAAGAACACCTCTTGAGGAATACAAATGTATTTTGATTTTTGTATGGAAATAAAATTTTATTTTTTTGGCGATTTCAATATATCGGAATATGCTTTGTTTCTTAGCAACTCTCAGTCGAATGCAATATTAGATGCACTAAACAATTTTGCAGATATTTTTGATTTAAAACAAAATCACTTTGTTTCTAATGAAAATAACAGGCTACTAGACCTAGTGCAGGGAAAAGGGTTGTACCTTGGGACATTTTTTACTCCTCCAGTTATTGTGCTGACATCTTTCGTTCGAATAAAAAACCTATTAGCTCTGCAGAGGCTATAACTGTAGGCAACTGTTACCCAACAATCAATTTTGTCAGCATCAATGCGTAGGCCACTACTAATTGTTCAAGCAGTTGGTGATTTTTGTCCCATGGTACAACCTGTGGTTTTACATTGGGATAGCGTGGGTTCTATCTTGGGACATGGTAAATAATTGAATATCATAGTTTCTATTATGTTAAAATAAGCCATAACTTTAGGTAGTATGTATTTGTTTTTTATTATAAAAATATGTTACACATAATTCATACTGAAAACAATTTGAATTTCAAATTAAGATCCTGTGAGAATGAAATGTTAAAGAAATGAAATCCACGATGGACTAGGCAGTACTTTCACTATATTGCACAAATTAACACGGCTGATGTCGTCGACGCTGGGGAATACAAAATTGGTTCTTCGCTTCCTAAGAAACTTAATGGTCACATCTGGTCCAGATTTGTCTTGTTTTACTACTATTTCAAAGTAGTAAACATCTCCTTTAGTTTTACCGGCGATTTGAAATTTTACTAGAACCCAGCTGCCTTTAGAGAAAGTCAGCTGATATTCGTTAGTTGGAAAGAAATTAGAGGAATCCTAATCTTCAGAACTAGAATAGAACGGATTCCCTCCTGAGCTATCGCCAAGGTCAGGTAATTCTTCATCAGAAAAGAATGATGAAAATTCTACAGCTCTTTAGCAGCTTCTTTCTTTGGGCATACAGTTGCCTTTCTTACCCTTTTCCTCTTCAATTCTCTGTTTCTCTGGCGTGTCAGTGGGAATCATACACCTCCCAGGTTTTCGTCCTCTACCTCAAGATTTCTTTGGTGTTGCTCTGGGAAATGAACGAATTTGTTCCGGAGTTATAGAGCTATAGACTGTTTCAATGCACTGCTTGTCGAAGGTGTCTCTTCTGATTGCTCTCTGTTATTTTGCCTCTCCTCACTTTTTTCCGGCAGGTCGACTTCAGCTGCTGCTTCTGCTGCAGGGTATAATCTGGCTGTCTTTTCAGCAGGTAAAAATTCATCGTCTCTGAATACTTTTGCAATAAAGGTCTAGATGCCAGCAGCCCTCAATTCCGTTGTGATGTTATTTGGGGTGAATGTCAGAGGGAATGCTTCTCCCAACAATGTGGAGACATCGTAAATAGAAATAGGTTTTCCGGAGTAGTTGATCATCCAACCCCTTACAGCTTTGTTATAAAAATTGTTGAAAGGCCCAAAGACAGACCGGTCCAGTGGCTGGAGTTTATAGCTAGTGTGGGGGAAACGTGAGAAAAACGATACCGTTTTCTTTCGCCAAATTTATCGCTTCCAGTGAAAGGTGACTTTCGTGGTTGTCCATAATAAGCAACACTTCCATTGCCACGAGAGTACTTGACCACAGAGATAAAGTGTTTCAGGTACTTCACAAATAGTTCTGCATTGGACCAACCACTAGAAGTTGCCATACCAAGGGTACCGGGTGGTTAATCATGTATTCTTTGTAATGAACACGAGGAAACATGATGGCTGGAAGAATAAATGTTCCAGCAGCATTGACTCAATCTATTACCGTTACATTTATTCCATGTTCTCCAGAGGTAGCTGCTCCAATTTGTTTCGCCTTTATGTTACCTAGCAAACGTGACGGCGTGTGAACCGTAGAGCAACCCGTTTCGTCAAGTTTCAACACGTTTATTGGAGCTTCCCAAAAAATATTTTAACATTTGGTTTGTTGAAAGATGCCATTTGACCTATGAATTACGAAAAGTTCGTTTCCACTGTCTTCCTGCGTATCCACGTTCTTTCCATTTTTCTGGATATTTAACTTTGTGTGCTTCGGCATATTGGAAAAATAATTTCTTGATTTCGTCCACGGTCAAACCAAAGTTCCATTGTGCAGCCTTTAAAATATATGAGAGAAGTTTTTCTTCTTGCTCAACGGTGAAGACCTTTTGCGTGGCATTGTTGGCTTCGTATTTGAAATCAGTTTGTCAAGACAACTTGTATTTTTTATGTGCCTGGCAAGAGTGCTTATTGATAAACCATATATTCTCGCCACTTCTCGCACAGACTGTTTGTTTGAAATAACAACCTTAACAGCAGCCTCAACATTTTCTACTACTGGTTTCGTCCTCTTTCTTCCTGTGGCATCTGTAACAGTGGGGAAATTGAAATTTATTGGAAAAGTTATTTATTTTTTAATGTTAAAAAATTCATTTTGTCAGAAGGTTGTACCTTGGGACACGTCCCAAGGTACAACCCGCAAAGTGTCCTAAGGTGCAACCTAGCACATTTGAAAAAATTAATTTCTTAACTTTAAAAAACTATATTACTTTTTAATGTTTTCTTGCATGGACTGCTTGTTTAAACAACACTCCGACAGTACTACATGGGATAAAGTGAATAAATTATGCTTACCTTGTTTGTCGCAAAATGTTACTTTCAGGGCGCGAAAACGAAAAATCTCACATTTTACCTCGGAACAATGACTGAAATAGAATGGTATTGGTGAGCAATACAAAGGATAGTGGTAGTTCTGAGAGTTACCGCTAGAGTGGTTGAATTTTGAGAGCAACTGTCCCAAGGTAAAACCGTCCCAAGGTACAACCCTTTTACCTACTTTAATAATTCCTGTTTTGTTAAAAATTTCGTAGACCCGTTGATCCAATTTTGGATATTACATTAAAATCAGTAGAAAAATTGAATAATAGAAATAATTTAGTCATCTTTTATAAATTGCTATAACTTTTGTAAGGCGAATTTTCTGATGTTGTATGACATGATTTCCAAAATAGGACTTTTATGGGAAATTATACAATTTGTTAGATAAATATGTACTTACCTAGGTACACAATCTGCAGTGAGAAAAATTATCCTCCCTGGTATGGCGCTTTTATATATTTATTATGCAAAAAATTTTACAATTAAAATTGGCACACAACTACAAAATATTGTCAGTGGAAAATCACAATTACATAAATCTTATTAGTAATTTTTTACAAGTGAACACCTCGCAGATTCATTCGCGTTAATTTAGCTTTTCCGTTCTTGAGGGATTTTCAGGATAAAATCATATGTGTGATTCAGGATACATATATTCCAAATATACGATACTCTTTACCCTAACATAACTACCGAGGATGAAACCGGGGGAAGTTCACTAGTTTATAATGTTAGTGGGTTTTAGTTCAATTATTTGTTTATTATTATGCTTAAGTAAAATTTTCTGTGTACTATTCTTGTCATTAAGCTATATCTAGCAAGAAAATAAATCAGGGTTCTTATCATTCTATTTTTTTTGTCCAACAATAAGGATTTGGCCCGCGGGCTGTAATTTGAAGACCCCATGTTTAGAGTATCATTTTTTAAATTATTTTATTTAAAATACACTTTTTTTTAGAAAGTACAAAGTAGCCGTATGAAAGCCCTGCATTTTCTCTACCCACCAGGTTACGTCGACAAGATTATAACGGTGTTCAAAACTTTTCTTCCCAAAAAATTACAAGAGAGGGTAAGTGCTAATAACAATACTAGCCTGGTTTTATATATCTAAGATAATAGCCTAATTCATGAAGCATCTTTAAATTTACTCACCTGTAAAGATGTAAAGAGAGATGGGCGATATGTCACCAACTGTTATTTAATTATTTTAATCTTGGTAAACTGACAATCTTTAAAAGCTCTTGTATCGATTTCTTAAAAGTTTTCCAGAAAAATATTAAAAAATATTTAATTTGTTAATAATTTTTTGATGAAACATAACCCAATTTATTTGCATTTTGCCAATCACAGTAACGATTTAACGTGTGTTTGAAAAATCACGCCATCGTCCAACTCTACTTTGACTTGTATGGCACTAATGGATAGATACAATATTGATGATCAAATAATTTTGCGAAATTCACATTTTATGTGTTTCTTCTGATTTAAGAAAAAAATATTGTTGAATACAATTTTTGTTAATGTTTGCTTCACGTGTTCCTTATATATCGATGGTGAAGGATCAATATGTCCTTTCAAAAAATTGATACTTTTCAGGAGGAAGAAAAGAACTGTCTCTTTGATAACGTAATAACAAAGAAAGTTAGAAAAGAACACGTCAATAATATTTTTTTAATTTGTTTTTATTAAAAATAAAAGTTTAAATCAAAAATATTATTCTAAATAATACTTTTAAAAGATAGGACAAATTAAAATAAATTATTGTATCACATAGGACCTAATGCAACTTAAAATAATACTATCTATATTCTAAATAGTTACAAATTATAAAATTTCAACACTTAGGACATTTTTACTTTGCTTAATTTTTATTATATTAAGCAATTAGTGATTGTCTACTTATGTTTAAAACAAAAACATCAATATTTTGCAGGTAAAAAAGAATAAAGAATGCACCATTGCAAAAGTTTTGCTCTAAATTATATATGGCAAATTGTTATAAAAATGATGGCAATCTCCTGGAATGACAGATTTTAATTCCTGTAGGTGTGGCCACTTTGATTTTGAAATTTTACACCTTTGCGTGAACAAATTAGGATAGTTTTTAATTGGAGGAAACTTTTTAGATCTTATGAGTAAATCAGCTAATTCTAAATCTGAATGATCCAGCTTAACCCTAATAACCCCCAGTGGATCATAATCAATAACCCTGATATCCATAACTACCGGATCATTTGATATTCTACCTGATCGTATTGATGAATATCTCAGAGGCGTTAAATAGTTTTCAAAGAAACTATACTCGTAGTTTACTGCTTCATATGGAGCTGGGGTTTCCCTAGCTTCTCTGGTAATAGTAATATAATCACTTGGAACCTTGATTTCCCTATTTTTTAATTTTCTTTCAATACAAGCGTGCACTGAATCCACCTCCATTTGCGTATGCCCAACTTCTAAAAAATTTTGAACTATTTTGATGTTATGTGTCATGCTAAAGTTTTGCAAACCGTTGGACATAACACAATTTCTATTTTGTGCCGTGTATCCGTCTGAATATATGGTTACAGTAAGACAGTATTTGGTAAGGTAATTTATAAGACAAGACTTAAAAGTGGAGGCTACCAGTTGATTATTCTAGTCCTCCGAAAACCAGTAGCAAGTAGCGTGTTTTGTAGCTACGTTATACACTGTGATATGGCAGCATAGATTTGTTATATAATAAAAGGCATTTGCATAAGTGAACGGTGCAAGTTTTACTGCTTGAACATCAATTTCCAATGTGATCTGAGTGCCAAGTTCTGATTCGTTTCTATCTTTTTCTTTTGCAGATCTAGCTGTATTTTTTTTGTTAATATGATCTTGTCAAATATTTTCCTTAATATTTCCACTTTTGTAGCTTGAACAAGTATTACATTGATCTTTTTTCGTGGGAAAAATAGAAATATTTTTCTTGGCAATCATTGCACTAAATGTGGTCCTGCTTACAGATTCAACTGCTTCTTCTTCAGACTTAGTAAGGTAGAATTTATACACGTCCATAATAGTATGAAATGTAGGTTTTAAATACAATTTGGAAGAGATTTTTCGAGCATAGCGTGAGGGCATTTTCGGGAGATTATTTAACATTTACCGGCAAACCTGTAAGTGCTCTTATCCATTATTCAAATGGTATTGTAAAGTATGGGTACGTCTTGAGTTATCTCGATTAACTGTATTTCTTCTTTTATTTATGTTTTTTACATGTGCTACAACAAAAGCTTGTCTGTATTCCCAGGTTATTTTCCAGAAATGTTCGAAAATTCTGTTTCTAGTGTCCTCTGAAAACTCGGAACAAAGCCTAACTTTTGATTTTCTACACACTTATTTTCCACGAGTGGGTTTCATGTGACGAGCATCTTTGTATTGTGACTATTTATATTTTCCGGTATTCCCTTTTACAAATTCCATACAAGGTTTTCCTTCCATTCGGAGTTTCTGATTTCTGTTGCGTTTCCATTGGTTAGGATCGGCCACCTTTCTTCTTTTACGTCCCTCGTTTATGTTATGATTATTTGCATCAAGATCGGCTACGGTATCTGATTCATGACTTTTGGAAGAATGTTCAAATTCATCACTATGGCTGCCATAAACTGGATTATATTCTAATCTGCCAGTTGATGAATTTTAATCAAGTATTTGATTAGAATGTAGATCAGTGTTTGAAGTCCTGCAATAATTGAATGTTGATCTAAAAAGTTTTCCACTTCAACTCTGTTAGCAATGTTTTGAAGAATATATTGTCCTACTGTATTCGGCGAAAGTATTATTGGTACATTCTGACTAGTAACAGATTCCCCTGCAACAGTTATCAAAGTGACGGTTTCGGCATTGTTGAAATTATCAGTTGCCTAAAAAATAGGACACAATAAAAATACAAGAATTTTCTTGAAGAATATGAGTACCTTACTCATCGTAGACTTTGGCGATGACTGCTCACTTGTTGATATTACTGACTGTCTAGCTAATTCACAAAGTTTGTATTCTCTCCCGACTGAAAACATGGTTTTAATCATCACCCTGTAAATAATAAGTTAGTAATCAAAATATCTACCGTGACTCTCATTCTAAAAATAAATAACGATTTAAGCTATTGTACAATAAATAGAATAATTATTTATTTATTTACAATAAAACATCTAACCATTAAATAGGTACATTTTAGAATAAAAAAATTCCTTATTAAATAATACGTACACAAAAAGCAAAAAGTCCTATCTGGTAATGTGTACTTATCAGTTAATTATTAGCATGTATAATTTCTGGCGAAACAAAATGTCCTATCTGCTAATAAAAATTTTTGTAGGCTTTCAATAGTAAATGTACAGCTTATTTGGAAATAATTGCAGGTATATTGTTTACTTTAACTGTAATAACGACTTACCGTTTTCATAAACAAACACAAAGTTTTTTGGTTAAAAAAACAAAACTTCCACAAACCACCAGCACGTGCTTTAAAATGGCGGGTAAAACATTAAACAAACACATAGGTTAATTTGCTTGCAAATTTGCTGTCGCGGACGATATTACAAATTAAAATTGATTGTATAAAGCGACGTTGTCAATTTGCCACAAAGGTATTGACTAATTATGATAGATTTATTTATTCTTAATAACCTGGTAACAACATCGGAATTTGAATAAAAAGGTAGATAGGACATATTGATCCTTCACCATCGATATGCCGGTTTGACTCCCTCCTCAGATTAGCAAATTTTTAAAAATATTTATTAAATACTATATTTAAATGATATTTATATTATATAAAAATATCCCATTTCATAAACTATTAATACACTTGAATTGTTTTTTATCTACTTCAACTTGTAATAAGTAATAGTAGTTTAAGCAGCAGGAGTAGATATGGATATTCCATTCGAGTTATGCAGTATATTTTTTCTGCAACCAACTAACCAAAAACTAAAATTTAAAAAATTAAATTGTGTTATTAAAACAAAATAACTAATTTTAAAATAATTTATAACATTTATACTAATTTATATAAAAAAAACAAAATAAACATAAAATTTAATATTGTAATATATTTTAATTAGTCCCCATCCCAGAATTAAACCTGGGCCTCTCACGTGGAAGACAGACGTAATTAAACTAGTTTCATATATTTATATTAACCAATTATTTATAATTAAAGACGTAATAAAATTAGAAATGCTATTATTTATCGATTCTACACAAAATACCCCATTTTATTGTTTGACAGAATTGTCAATCAATTTTGAAAATAATAATAGTCTTGTAACCAAAATATGAACTATGATTCGTAGATTTAATTTTTTTGCAGTCTTCTCACTACCTAGAATGGATATAAAATATATTTTATATATGTATATAAGCTTATTTATGTGTGTGTAGAAAAAAATATATTCAAGTTGATAATATAGGAAGTACACTTAAAACGGATTTTTATTTTATCTTGTAGATATTTATTCACAAAACCATAGAAGATTTATTAAGATGCATCCCTCGAGATATACTACCTTGTGACTATGGTGGTTTTCAAAAATCAATGGCAGAAATTGAAGGTAATTTAAATAAATTTTTACGACTATGAATTCATAAAATATAATTTGTAAAAAAGATAGTTAAATAAAAAAGTTGGCAGGAAGCTTTTGAAAAAAAATTACCATTCTATCAGTAACGTTTTTTGGAAGGAGAATATAGTAAAGATATACTTAAAAATATTTTTAATACGGCTCCATGACAAGACAACTCAGGACAAATAGCGCAGGACATAATAGAGTAGAATATAATGGCAGAGACAAAATAGCGCAAGGAGAAAATAGCGCAAGGGCAAACAGCGCAGGAAAAAATAGCGCAAGAGCAAAAAAGCACAAAAATAAAATAGCGCACGGACCACTATTTTAATTTAAAATATTCTCATATAATTCTTAAGTAAAAATTAAAAATAATTCAGATTTTTTATAATTTTATTATCTTTTTATATCAAATGAAATAATATCATTAATAATTTAATTAAAAAATTTACAAGATATCTAATAGAAGCTTCTGTTCCCCGCTTGCCTTTACTGAAACATTTTATAATTTCGTAATTGTCAATTTCCCTTCTAATTTGACTAATTAATTTAAACTTGATGTACGATGACAGCCTAAAGTTTTTTGAAATGCATTATGCCATGTGTTTACTGAATTGTTTGTTCTCTGTAGCAGTGGGGGATTTTGAGCGAATCATTGAGGGTTCAAAATGACAGAATATAAGTGTCAGTCTTAGATTATACAAACCTTAGATGGAACATAAGACACTGCGCATAATCCCATTTTAAAATGATTCACACCCACCAATCACAGTTGAGAACATCACATGTCAGACCGTTGTTCATCCAAATTTAATGTGTCAACGAGAATTAATTTGGTATTTTAGTGACTTAAATTTTGGAAATTAACGTTGAAAATGCCAAGATGTGTTATAAAATGCTTTATTTATAATAAACCTGCGAAATGTGACGGAGATAAAAGAAACTTATATTTATTTCGGTGAGATATTTAATTTTTAAAGATTCTGTCGACGTCCATATTTGTTGATTTGAAAATAAACAGAATCGGACTTGGTCATTGGCACATGTTATAAGTAGCAAATAAAGGTTATTATTATAAACTGTTTACTATTTCTTGTTTCATAGGGAATCTTTTTTTAGGAAGTGAAAAAAGAAACAATCAAATACAAAAATATCAATTTCATTGCCAATTTATTCGTTTCATACTTCACAACTGGTTTCAATAGTTTTCTCAAAACTATTTATTTAGTAATTCTCTATAACAGTGTTACTCTAAGTGTAAAGCCAAAGTTTCCGCGAAGAAAATAATCACAATAAAAAAACAGTACTATCGCCACAAAATGGAGGGACCTGGCTTGAGGACCGTTCTTTGGAAAGTAATTTTTTTAAGTCACTAACAGGAAGGAGGATATGATTTTGCTTTAGGACTTTTTTTATTTAATTTTTTATGGGTGAAATGGATTTGGGATAATTTTTGCAAGGAATCTTTGGAATAAATCAAAAATAAATGATGCTCTTGTGCATTTTCAGCCGATTAAATTATTCGTAGATGCATCAAATGTGGGAATAAGGGCCATGATATGTCATGTTTTTGAAAAAAAAAAAATATTGAGAAATCTATAGCTTCTGCTTCGCGTACCTTATCAAAGTCCGAACAAAAATATTCCCAAATTGAAAGAGAGGTCCTTGTAATAATTTTTGGCTTAAATAAATTTAATGAATATTTATATGGACATTTGCATAAAGTAGAACATTATGCAACTGATTACGAAAAGTTGATTATGTCACCAGTTACGAAATGAAAATAAATAAAACTGCCTCTTTTTTGGTTTCTAAGTTGAAAAATCGAAAAATCGTAAAATCGAGAAATTGAGAAATCGAGTAATCGAGTAATCGAGTAATCGAGTAATCGAAAAATCTAAAAATAAAAAATCCAAAAATCCAAAAATCCAAAAATCCAAAAATCCAAAAATCCAAAAATCCAAAAATCCAAAAATCCAAAAATCCAAAAATCCAAAAATCCAAAAAACGAAAAATCGAAAAAACCAAATATCGAAAAAGAGGCAATGAATAGTGACATTTCACATTTGAAAATATGACATTACGTTTAAAAACAAAAAAGAGAAGCTGTAAATGGCGTTTAATTTTTAAAATAACACCGTTATTGAAAACTGCCCAGAAATGTTGGGGGTAAAATTTTGACGTACTTCTTTAAGGATAATGGGTAAAAATGTTTTTTTTTTCAAATTTCTCGCGGGTAATGTCAAAAATTAGATCGGCAACACTGCACATGTCCCTTATTTTTATTATTACTATTGAAAAAAAAAAAAAAACGTCGTAGGGCAATCAAATACAACAATTTTCTAAACTATTTGATTGGAAGTACCTACACAAGAATGATGGTGAATCATTTTTCAACACAATTTTATAAATAATCAAGTCAAAATTAGAAAAAATCTTGTATATAAACACGTTACGAAATGCCGTTTTGTGTAAGTCGTTCATGTTGCGGGAACTCGCTCCGCTCGTTTTGCAAATATTTACTCGTTACACAAAATAAGGCATTTCGTAACTGGTTACATAAATAACTATTAATTGACTTTCTAATATTTTAATTCATTGGACGGTATTTTCCGTAAATAATTAAATCATAAATAACTACCAGGATATAAGTACCAAAACATTTTTTTCTCTTAGAACAGTAGGCCTATGTCAAATAAACTTAAAATATTATATATTATATATTTAGTTATTTAATTTATTTTGGTGTGATCGTAGAAAAAATCTTGTGTGTAATTCGAGCAAAAAGTACTTATAAACTTTTACTTAGGGTCGATTTCACCGTTTTATTAAACGAAGTTTAAAATACTAAACGAAGATTAAAATGACATTTTTATATTAACAATGTCATTTTAATCTTCGTTTAATAATTTAAACTTCGTTTGACATAACGGTGGAATCGGCCCTTAGCTAGTTATATATTGATAAAGTGTTATTGCCCTCATCATACATGAATCGTGCTAACAAATAAAGTCAAACAAACGTCTCATAATTTTTCATCTTTTAATTACCCACCAAAATTAGGTACTACAATACAAATATTTAAGTCCGGCCCAGAACACCTCCCTACTCCTTCCACCCAGTTTTTCGGTTATGGCAAAATTCGCGCAGCGAGAAATGCTTCCTATGTTACCTCTACCCTTTCTAACCTCTTTGGTGTCAGTACAGTTGTAGGTAAAAAACATATAGTGTTCATTATAAGGTATAATATAACTTCCTAAAATATTAAAGTTATTTACCTAAAAAACTAAGACCTATATTCTGCCATTGTGGACACCCAATATTTCACAAGTCGCCATTGCTTGGCAGATCCATCGAACCTACATATTCCAGTTGATAATTAAAAAAAAAGAACTTCGCGCGTTCCTAACTCAACCAGACTAATATAATAATTTTTCCAATAAATCAGAAGGTGTCGTAAATCTGACACACATATTTCAGAAAGAATGGCAAAAAAATGACACTTTTCTTAGAGAAACAAAACATAATGCTAATATCATTTTAGAATTAATTTGAAATTGTTTGTTTTCTCTGTAAGTTTTCGTTATTTGCAACTTTTGAACTTTCCTCCATAAATTTTTTCTCAAATGAAACAAACGTCCAACAATCTTCCAATTGGGAAAAAACAGAAGCGGCGGCATTACATATCGCTGCTTCAAAATCGGCCATCATTGTGACTAATGTTAAATTTGGTTCAATCTCTTTGACTATTCTTTGGATTTATTGAATAAAAAAACATAAATTAAAGAAATTACTCTGTTGTCGATCAACGCATGTATATACTTTGGTAAACAATTCTAGAGCAACTTTGAACGTACCATCTGCAAACCAATTTTCGTAGTTTTGTAAAAGAGTTACGTTTTTCTTTGTCTTTAAGATTATCATTCTCTCAAAGTCTTTAACATCAGAATCACATAGTAATTATTTTTTCCTCTAGTTGTAACTTGCAGATCTTCTGGTTTATTTCACATAACGATCTGTAATTAGTGTAATGTAATATACATTTATTCCTTTGGTAATGAACATTTTTTGCAATGACGTATATTTCGGTAATGAAGAAGACGCAAGCAGAGAAATTTCTTGAGTTGCTTCTTGAATTACTTCTCTTACCTTAACTCATGTTCGTTTTGCTTTTTCATTAATTTTATTTACTGCAGTACGGGCATTATTATACTCTACATCAGGTGCATGGTTATGCATAGTTATAACTTTTGGAATCTATTTAATTATCTTCACAAGCCCTTTACACCATATCTTAATGCATCTCTACGATTTGAATTCATTAATATTGACTCTATCAAAACTCTATCAAATAATAAAAATAACTGTCTTTGTGAATAAACGAATTTAGGCGATTTTAAATCAGATACTATGTCTTGAATATAAACACTGATATAAATCAAAAATAATGACGGCATATTGAATATTGTCTTGAAATGGCCAAGTTTAACATGACTACAGTAAAAACGTGGTCATCACAGGCATAAAATGACAAATGTAAAATTTTGTTGTTGTGGTGGTTGAGTTATTTGTAAGGGTTGCCAGATGTACTAAAGGGAAAAGCGTGACAATGGTGACGACAGGTGATCAGGTTAAAAAACAGGTATATTAATAAAATAAGCTCCTTTCTTCGAGGAGGTCTTAAAAAAGGTCTTCCGTTTATATTTTTATAAACTATCAGACCCTTTTTCTAAAGAGCTTCTCCAAAAAAGGTCACAAATTGTTAAACTTTTCTTTTTATCATTTAGGTGAAATGCGGGGCATTTTCGTACTTTGGCGTAATGCGTGCCAGCAAGTTAAAAAGCGAGACAATTACGCCTAAAGCGAGACGTCTTGCAATCCTAGCTGAGTACCTAGATATGGACGCATTTAAGGTTTTTGTAAATGAAAAGCCAATTTATTTTTAAGATAGCCAAGATTTATTGATGAATATGCAAAAGGTTTAATAA